TAACTGAACACACTCCCTTTGGTTCCACAGAAAATCAACGTTCAGACTTTATGTTTGAATGCTTAGAACACTTGGCTGTGTGGTGACTATTTTGGTTGCATAATTCCTAATTAGGTATAAGTTTATTTCTATATTTCCTTTTTCTTTAAGTTTATAATTGTTTATGTTTTAGTTGTAACTGTTACTAATGTGCGCGAAATAAATATTTTTCTTTCTTTCTTTTCATTCCAATTTACCGCTAGATCCTTGTCGGCTTATTGGATGCAAAACATCTTTTCACCTTATTTAATATTCTCAGTTTCTCGGATGCCTTTCAATTATGTTTTTATCATTTACAATATACGAACAAGGATTTCTCAATGAAATAACGCCCTCGAATGTTAGTCTCACCAAATTATTTGTAATCGGAACTAACCGTATTTAAATTAAATGTAAATAATGGGCTTTTATTGAGAACTGTATGTAGGTAGCAACATGTCTTTTTTTAATCTTCGTATACACACCGACCTTTAGTCGAACAAACTAATTATGCAAATGGACAATCCATGAGTGTGGTTTATATGAAAAATATGTATTCAAACTTCACGTCTGTCGTCTGTAAGACTGTATTTATCCTTGCTTACGTTATTATTGCTCATTCAACGAATCGTGCGTTTCCAATAATTTGATATAGCAATCGTGTTTTTCATTGGAATTTATATCTTGCTTTTATATTTTCTTGTTCTTATCCTTATTACATTTAAATATTCAATTATAATATATCAAAATTAACGCCAACATTAATTTAATGGCCAGCGTGTAGTCCCGGCGTAGAATTGGCCATCCCTCCCTTTCCCTTGAATGTCGTAAAAGACGACTAAGAGAGGGCGAGGGATGGGCAACAGCGTCCCTCTTTAAACATCTCCAAAGCCTTACTGTGGTTGTCAATCCGTTTACCAAGCATGACAACTACTAGAAAAACCCCCCTAGGGGGAGGTTTATGTTCAGCAGTGGACAGTTAAAGGCTGATATGGTGATGATGATAATGATGACATGGTAGTAATTGCGTGGACACTTCGTGGTTTCTGAATACTAATATAACGTACTTTCTGTAATTCTGTATTTTTGTAATAATAAATAAATAAATAAATAAAAACTTATAAGTATACATATAAGTTCTCGTCACCTCACCAATATCATCTATATGCATCCGTTTAAAGTGGCATACATACATATTACGTTACTTTAAATATTTTCCCACGATTAGTTACTTGTGTTCAAGGAAAACCGCAAGTATCAATTGATGTCAATAACTGCAAAATAACTGTTACAGTTACTAATTATATTTAAATACTGTACAATTAGAGTTTTAAATTCTAATATTAGGAGGAAGGGATTGTTAGTAATGCGGACTACGAATACCATTGCTAGCAATTTAGGGTATATATTTTTTTATACAACTTAGAATGGCAAACAAGCTGACGGCCCACCTGATGGAAAGTAATAACCGTCGCCTATAGACATGAGCAGTACCATGGACATAACAGAGTATACTGTTTCGCCCATGATACCCCCCATGCATTGCCAATTTGCCATTCCTGAGAACTCAGGTGTTATTCCTCTGTACCCTGTTTTACGCCATATCCTACCTTTCAAACCGAAACACAGCCATGCAAACATAACTGCTTTACGGTTGAAACACGAATGGCACAGAGGTACCGAAGCAAACGACTTTTGTACAAAGTCTCCCTCTGGTAACTATTAATATTTTAGCAGTGGGATTGTATCGATCTCTCTGTGGTTCCCCTTGGAAACTATCGTACTGAATATGCACTTTTTCTTACGCTCTTTTTTAATAACCGCATGCTGTGGTCAGCTGCACAAAACCTGAGTAAGTGAGATGACTCAAGATCCATATGTCTTGCTTAACCATTTTTAGTGTATTTATTTATTTTATTCCATTTTAATACGGAATTTAAAAAGTGTAAAGAAGATACATGGCGCCCTATGTCACACTCGACATCAGTGACGTTACCTTGTAGATTAGTACTTATAAATTTAAATTTGGAACATAATAAAATCGTGTTACCAACAGTGCAAATAGTAAATTCCAAAATACTTATAACACATAACGAGTGACCGCAATTTGAGTAATTCAAATGAGAATTTTTGTATGTTAGATTTATCATGCACTAGTATTTTAGTGAACAAACGGGGAATCTATTTTCCTCGTTGTTGCAAGTTCATTGGCCGAGTTCTATCTTTGGCATTCGGTATAGGTCAATAATTTTAAATGTCCCCAAGGTCTTATATTATATAAATGAAAAAAGTATTTCGGGACGGACGTTTCTATGTTTAATTTTAAGGAAAATCATTGTAGCCACAATTTTTAGCAATTACATGGACCGTTTTTGTTTACTATGTATTTTTTTTTGTACCACGAAGGTAGCAAACAAGCATATAGCCCGACTGGTGGTAAGCGGTACTAATGCCTATGGACGCCAAAAATACTAGGAGTGTCATGTATGTTTTTTTTTCTTTTTTATACAACTTAGAATGGCAAACAAGCTGACGGCCTACCTGATGAAAAAAGGTAACCGTCACCTATACACATGAGCAGTACCATGAACATAACAGAGTATACCGTTTCGCCCATGACACTCCCCATGCGTTGCCATCCCTAAGGACTCAGGTGTTATTCCTCTGTACCCTGTAAATTCACGCCATATCCCAACCTTCAAACCGAAACACAGTCATGCAAACACAACTGTTTCACGGTAGAAACACGAATGGTACAGAGGTACCCAAGCAATCGACTTTTGTACAAAGTCTCCCTCTGGTAGGTGTCTTTATCATGAAATAATAATCATAATATTATAAATGTGAGAGTGAGTTTGTTTGCTGATAGAAAAGTTAAAGAGCCTATCTTGGTATGGATGCACAGGGATGAAGAGCATGTTTGAAGAAAGGTATTAAGTATAAATATGAACGGCTATAATAACAGAAAAAGATCTAAAAAGACATGGACGGACTGTGTGAACGATGATATGGTCAAAATGGGAGTGAATACTTTAATAACTGCGAATAGAGAAAAATTAAAGAGAAAAACACATTACGCCGTCCCCGAATAATAATTAGGATAAGTGAATTCGTTTATTAGCTCTTGGTATCTTAACGGCTCGACCAATCTTCATAAAATTTGTTATATGTAATATTTGAGACGGAGAAAGATATAGGCTACATCTTATCTCATTGAATCAACACATCCCAATTATGGAAAAAAGTCGGATAAAACTAGTCGTTTTATAATTTTGCATTATTTTTCATAGTTGCATTTATAGCGACTTCTTTCACGTGACCAATCAATCAATATATCCCATACTGATTGATTGGTAACCGCAGTTTTTTTTTTTTGATGGGTGAAAATGGTAAACTTGGTGGAGCACCAGTGAAGGGTGATAGATGAGAATGAAAACAGGCCAGTTAGCCCATCATGATGAATAACCATGGTAGTTTCCAGGGAGAACCGCGAGGAGGTCGACATGGTTGGGTATATTGCTAGCAATAGGATTCTCAGTCTTCATTACTAACAATCCCTTTCCCTGGTAACCGCAGTTAAACTTTAATGATGTTTTAAGACGGACGCTGCTGCCCATCCCTCCACCATAAACTCCCTTAATCGCCTCTTACGATACTCACGGGAAAGGAAGGGGTGGCCCATTCTATGCCGGAACCACACGGCAGGATAGGTTGAAATTCAATGTAATAATAATTATTGTTATGTACCATATTGAGTAATTCAATAACTAAATTTATATCAGTTCTACCGTCATTTGCATGTATATTATATATAAATTATATAAATAAATGGCTCCCCAATGAACAGTCGGGCATGACTAACGTCTTGATTTACATAACCAGACTAAATGTAAAATGTCACTGCGTTATTTAAACTAAGCCCAAAGCCACGAATATGTATAAATGATTATTAATATTCTCATATTGATTTATTTATATGCTTTTGTACATTCACTTATAGTCTAAATTAAAAAAAAAAAAACTAATTTGACAATTAGCTGACTCGTTTTTTTATCAGTATTCTATTTATATATATTTACGCATAAAATATATCTTGACGTATTATTTAATAAATAAAATAAGTGTTTATACATTTAAAAAGGTGCAGAATTTATAAAACAAAATAAATATAGAAATTATAAAGGGAATCACTCATAACTATTTATCACGCAAAATTGTATGAAAAAGTTGATCCGTTTTTTTCGAAGCGTTTCTAAGTAGACACTCTATCTATATAATGTAAGATATTAGATTATAACAAAATGTACACAGGCGAACTTATCCCTTAAAGGGATTTCTTCCAGTCAACCTTGAGAACCAGAGAGAAGAAATTATCTATAGGGTTTGTATATAAAGCATAATAAACAGAGCAAACTGACCTGCTTCATCCTCACCTATCATCCCTCACTGGTACCCCGCCAGCGTATACTGATAGCACAGACGGGGTTACCATTCCATTATCACTCATTAAAAATAATAATAATATACTAGCAATAATTCAGGTTGGTGGTATTTTTTGTTGAATTCATAACGTTGAAATCATAATTGATCTGATTTCATCGTCACCTATTATCTTTTACTTGTATTAATTACCACCAGAGTATTATGATAACCATATTCACCCAAAAAAAAAAAATCCCCAAGCCTATAATATAATCCCTTTTACCTCCGTTAAGTAAGTTTTTTTTTAATGGATGATAATGGAATGGTAACCTCACCCGCGCTATCGGTATACACCGGCGGGGCACCGGTGAAGGATGATAGGTGAGGATTAAGTAGGTCAGTTAGCCCATTGTGACGAATTCAACAAGAATTGTTCACGATGGTTTCCAGGGGGAACCACGTGGAGGTCGACTTAATAAGGTAAGCAATGGGGCTGTCAAACTCCAATGTTAACAATCCCTTTCCCCCCTCTGTTAAGTAAGTATAGATATTGCACATACCTTGACATCAATAAGTCTGACAGTGAACGCCGCAGCGTCTGGTGCGTTGAGTTTCAGCTGGCAGGGCGAGAGGGGCGCGGTCGACGGCGGCCGCACAAGAGCTAGCGCGAGGGCTGCGCCTGTGCCGACATTGCTCCCAACCTCCACCTCTTTCGTACGACCACATAGTAGACTAGAACTAAGCCCTGTGAACAAGACAGATTTAATATTAGGTTATAATATAAGCAGAATGAGCCACCCGTTCATTTTCCATTGGTATCGCAAGCAGTGACTATGGAAACTTAATGATCCAGGGATGGGCAGCAGCGTCTCTCTTAAAACATTACCAAGGCTCAACTACAGTTGCCAACTCGCCTGCCAGGCGTAGCAACTACCTGCAAAACCCCCGTTATGGGCTAGGCCTATGTTCAACAATCTAATGTTTCTGCTGCAAGGTGCTTGCATGTGTCAGTTGGAAGGGTATGTATAACAGTGAAATTACAAAGTATAGACGCATAACATTTTCTTCCTCAAGAACGGCAATGTGTGAGGGGTATCATGAGTATCACAGCGTATTCTATGAAGTCCATATTTCTGTAAATGTTTATAGGTGACGATTACCACTTTCCATCGGGTTTGTCATTTCAAGTTGCATAAAACAGTAGCAGTATTACGTCACAGTCCTTATGCTCTTTCGAGCTCACTTCTTAGCTGTATGATCGATTTACATACACATACATTTCCATACAGACGTCAGATGTTTATGTACGTAGTAGTGACAGTTATGGATCACGCCGTTTCTATAAGAAGTATCCGAGATGCGATTAATACTGGGGGTTTACCATGATATAGAATTCCGAATTTTCGGATTCAATTTCGCATTTTTGTTCGCACCGAAATTGACCCAGTTAATGGAGCTGAACATTGTTAATATTTTTAAACGATATGTATTATAAAATTTTAACTTCAATATTGTGTTTCGATGGGCTCCGAAAATTCGAAAAATAATTATATATTATATATTCTTTATTGCACTTGAATAATACATATAGCGATTAGGTTAACAACTTGTTAGCAAGGAAGGGCTTATCTCTGAAAGAGATCTCTTCCAGCCAACCCAGTGTAGTTAGAGAGAAAATAATTAATTGGTAATAAATAATTTAATGGTAGGCTCTCTGTTTTTAGATTTAAAAACTTTATAAAATAAAACTGCGGGAAGAGAAAGAATGGAGGTACCAGGGTAGGTTTAGATTGACCCATCTAGATTAGATTTTAAGCTTCCGCTATTGGTGTATATGTGCATATTTCGAATCATAGTAAAATATTGATCTCTAACTTAGATCTTTAATATATTGATATAATGATATCTTTTTTTATACTATATATACGGTACAGTGGTTACCATAGATGAAAAAAAAATATATCTAACTTATAGTCTTATATTTTCAATTATATATATTCCTTTACATTCATTATAGTCATTTATATATAGGTTTAGGTTCATAATAAAATTAATTCTTGATCAAAAAACAGTAATTCTGGTATTTAGAAGTACAAGTATATTTCAAGTGAAACAGGTTGCTTTTTATTACACGATGATTATCATAATATAGCCAAAACCCATCTATTTTACATTAACATCACATATTTCTCACTAATCTGTATGTGCATTATAGTAACGTGCCTGGTTAGGAAACAGAGAATAACGGAGTCTTTAAAAAAACAGTCACCAATATTAGTTCCAGCAGAAGGCATGCATTTGGCCCGGTTCACATAATGTTGCACAAAACAGTAGCGTTAGTAACTATGGGTATACTTTATTATGCATGTAATACAAATATTGCATTTTCAACCGACTTCTAAAAAAAAAGGTTGTATTTTTTATGTTTGTTACCTACCTCATAACTCCGTCAGTTGTAGAGAATACGATCCCGACTAGTTTTTTTAATCCCGGGATTTCGGGATTTGAAAAAATACCGAGATCGGGATTGATCCCGGGATTTTATGCAGTAGCAATAAAAAGTCAGTAAATTATTTTCAATCATTCTATTTTTATTTTGGTAATAGGTAATAGTTTCATATTAAGGCTAAATTAAACAAAATTATGCTTCTAATTTCGTTAAAGACTAGTATTTGCAGTTTACAAATTGCAATACATACTTACTAAAAATTAAACGTAGAGAAAATCAACTTTGTAAGACTTAGAGAAACCAAAAAAAATAATTAACAATACGTATTTTGTTTTATTCTAGAGAGATCAGTAATCATGTTTTATATTTAAAATAGACTACGTATGTATTGCAAAAATAAAATCTTAAAAATAATAATGCGTCCAATGTTTCATTTCCAAGCCTGCTTCTGAGTTTGTTAGACATATATGCAAAAGTTGAGAAAGCGCGTTCAGGCTCGATTGAAGTTGGAGGAATTGTCAATAAATATTTAGGTATAGGCTTGTTCCAAATTGTAGCCTCGAGTGGAACTTGCCTCAAGTAGATTCATTTCCTTCTTAATAATTTTATAAATGTCGTTACCTTGTTTTTCGACTACGAAATGACTCCACACAAACCATCTTTTTTGTGTCTGATAGAAAAACTTTCTTTAGACAGCGATATTTTAGTAGCCTAAAACAGAAAGAAAAATTAAGACCCCCAATAATAAAGAGGATTCAAGAAAAGAAAATAAATAAGATTAGGCTGTATGGATTTTAATCCCCTACCCTACGCCTTTCACTATGGAATAAATTTAATAAGAACAACATAATCTAGAAAATTATTAATTTAATTATTAATAATTTTCATTAAATTACTCTTTATTCACTCATAATACAACATTGTTTTTCTAATTATCACCATAATAATATAGTTTAATAATACTTACATACACACAACGCCGTGAAGACGAACTGTTGTATACATTCACACACAACGCCGTCGCAAAGTAATTCAATCAATCAGCTGTTTATCCAAGATGACCAATTAATATCAAATAGACAATAAATGCATTTCGTTTCACGCAAAAACATGAAATATATTAATTCGTAAAAATTTTTGTTAATCCCGAAAATCCCGGGATTTGTTACATAAAATCCCGAGATTTTCGGGACCGAAATTTCGACCGGGATCCCGGGATCCCGGTTTCGGGATCCCGAGATCGAATCCTCTAGTCAGTTGTAAGCCGATTTGAAAAATTCTTTTTTTATCTGAACGGATATATTTGCAAAATAGTTCCAAATAGAAAAAATATAAGAATCTGTTTAGTAGTTCAGTTTTTAAATTTAAATAACTAGTTTTGACACAATTGGTTTTTTTTGTGGAATAAGATCTTAATTATGTAAAATAATCACATCACAAAATGTACAAAGTGAAACGGAATTAATAAGTATCCTCCCATTAGGGAATTTGACTATTTTACCCAAAAAAGCATGGTGTCGAATAACAACAAAAAGTTTAGAGATTGTATGAATGGAAAACTTGAAATTTTTAACTCTCTTACTGGCCAAAATTCTGCAGACAGATCATAGTAAATCTCACTACCTTTTCTTTCTTCCAGTTCACGTGCGCAAGCGAAAATTCTATAGGACTCCCAGTAATTAGGAGAAGGAATTATTAGCTTCATTGGGAACCAGTTAATTCTTAGTAAATTCGCCACAATGAAACATCTGACTTAACTTCATTCTCAGCTAATATCCCGGCATCATAAGCCATTAAACGAAGCGGTATTATTCCACTCATTGCCTTGCCTTCCATTTGTTTGGGATCGGCGCAGTATGTTTTCTTCTTCCATAAATTCATGTCAGTTGTTATTTCTGGACTTACTCCTCTTTTATGCATATCATTTTTCACACAATTCATCCATCTTTTCTTCGGTCGTCCCTTTCCTTTACGTCCACCCACTTTTATACATTCATACTTAAGACTTAAGACTCCCTTATTGGTGCAATTTTCATTGTCATGTGTAAAAAAAAAACGCTAATTAGGTCAATTTTATATATATATATATATATTTCTAGAAAGGCGTTATATATGCCTATTGTGTCAGAGATTTCACTATACCCTTTAGACCGAAACAATAATGCACGCCTTGCTGCTTGACGGCAGTAGGTAATAGTGAACGTTTGTTAAACAAATTCACCTGTATTTACACGACTCTCAAAAGGGAAAGATTCTCAATATGCCCGAATTTGTAAACGACTTACAAATGAAGGCTCTAAATTTATCTGTTCTTTTGTGAGTACTTTAGGTAATTTTAAACTTTGTAACAATTCTGTTGTCGTTTTTGTTTATGGAGTAAAAAAACTGCTTGTTGCGAACCAAAATTTGTTTACTAAACATGATTCTATCCGTCATGTAGGACCCGACATAGAATAGGCCTTTTCTTTCCGTGGGTGTCGTAAGAGGCGACTAAGGGAGCTAATAGTGGAGGGATAGGCAGCAGCATCCCTCTCAAAACATCACTCCTTATGGACGAGGCTATGTGCAGCAGTGGATACTTAACGTTTGATACAACAAACATGATTGTATATTTTTAATATAGTGTTTATGAAATTTTCTCGAAAATATTCGTTATTTACTGTAGTGCTCTAAACAACGAGAGGTTTTGTAGCCATTTCACGCTATTTTTTGTGAAGTCAAATGTACTTATTTTATGATTAATATAATCATCATTTTTTCATAATAGTACGTCATGTGTCCATCGAATATAGGAACAATATGGTAATGAATATAATCAACCAAAAAAGAGAATATTCCTTTCGAAGGTTGGACGAGCAATACCGGCCCATTGGATACTTTTTTATACTATTTTTGTAGGATCCAAGGGTATATAGGGCAATAGGAAGACGTCACAGAAAAGGCCACTAAACCATGTTATGTCGGTTCACGTCGGAGTTTCTAAATTCAAAATTTTTGCCTGTTTCTATCTACTATTGGATATAGGTCTTCCCAAAAATGTCTTATTTAAAACGGTTTATATTTTAATCTTAAATTGAATTCTAAATATTACAATTGCAGGCGTAGTAACTATAGGAATGATACGTCGTCTGTCATTTGTATAGGCTGGGTTAATACTAGTTTATTACACCATAGATAATGTATAATAAGCCAAAAATTACATTGCGGTAATAGAGCAGGTGACGGAATATACCTGAAGGTCAGTAACAAACAAAAACATAGAACGCGGCCATTTTACTAATAATTCTAATAATGCT